TAGACTCCGTGGTTCCCGAGATAATAATTTACCCGTCAAAAATTTTCACGGGGCCGTACATGTTACCCGCAGGCAGCGGAAAGCTGAATTTAAATTTTCTGGGTAACACAGGAGGGAGGGCATGCCCACAAAATTCCAGCCTTCTAGTATTCGTGGGTCCCGTGATAATAATTTTACCCGCTCAAACTTTTACGGGGCCATACGTGTTACCCGCGGGTACAGAGAGGCTGAATCTAAATTTGCGGGATCGCACGTGGATGGGGAACGTTCCCCGAAATTTTCAGCTTCACAGCTTTCGTAGCTCCCGAGTTGAAAGTTGCGGACAAGTTGCTACGGACACACACAGACAACCCCGTGACAACATGCGCTTTGTACTGCTGCTACACAGCACAAAGCGCATAAAAATCCACTAGGCATGACATGCTGATCGTATTTACTAGTTGGAGGTAAACGTCGCAAACCAATGATGCCACAGGAAAATGACTATCCAAGGGATACTCGAGCAGACAGTGTGTATATCGAACAGGCAATGGGCACTAATTGCAGATAGCACAACTCAGAATCGATCTGCACTCGGCCCGACGAACAATTCATTGCAGTAATGCTAAATCCCTGTATGAGTCTCCGCTATTCCTGATAAAGGATATGTAAATATCACAAGTGGCTCTCAGGGATACCGAAAAGCGTGACGGCCACAACACTCCTCAACGAAAACTAAATTAAATTTTCACTTTTTTGAATGAAAAATCAGTGCCTTAGAAGTTTTTCAAATCATATTTTGCGCCTCAGTATCAATCCAAAAGAACAAGCTGATAGTATCAATCCAAAAGGCCCTTTCAAAAATTGCTAAAACTCAGTAGGAAAGCCATAAAAAGCTGTAGCATCGTCAGTAACGGGTAATAACTGTTGAATCAACCAACTCTTCAACGCGCCAGACTGATTTGTTCGGCAATCCTTTGGAAAGATGGTTGTCCTCTGCAAAGTGCAGCCTAAGCTGTAGCAATCCACCGAAATCGCCTTTCCCACACACGAAACACCGGCCATTGTAAGACTCCTTGCGTATGAAATTGATCATGCTCATGCGATCGTACACATCGAACTTCTCTTTTTCGATGATCCCAAGAATATCAAAATGATGCCGGGTCTGCAATGTCTAACGTTTCAATACAGCCAACACTTTACACCAAGCTCATATGGTGGTCGCCGAAACAAGGTGTGGAAGTGAAATTACAAAATTAAATCAACCGCTCTCTTCATGAATGTAAGCAACCAAACCATCATAAAGAGCAACCGAAAAGAAAGCTGGAATTCGAATCAACGTGCACTAAAATTCCTTTCTCAGCTAGCTGCTGAAATACAC